TTGGGCCCATTAAGAGCCCATGGTGATGGACTCGGGGGTTCACTGTGTCCTACAGTGAATTCGGCCAGGCCTTGTAACTAAGGCTAGGCTGAACCCATGTGGCTGATGCATAGATCATTGATAGGATCCCATGCCATACAAAGAGAGCCAAGCTAGCCAGCATTAAAGGAAGTGAACCTAAAAACATAATGGGCCTAAAGCCCATTTCGAACTAGGTTAATTGGATTAATTAATTAAGGGTGAATCTGGGTATAGATCAGCAGATTAGGATAAGAGGATAACTCTTGTCCACTTAAAGAGTCTAGATCCAAATAGAGATTCGGATCAGGAAACTTCTAATTTAATTAGGAGTAGCTGATCTTGATTTACAGATAAGATAAGGGATTATCCTTATCACTTAAAGAGTTCAGATCCAAATAAAGATTTGGATCAAGAAACTCCTAATCAGATTAGGAGATCATCTCTTTAAGGCTATATATAAAGAGCAGGGCGGACCTGAAAAACATATAACACAGTTTGACTGTTTCTACCTTCAGTTTTCTCTCCCTGCTCTTGCCGCCCTACCCTGTTCGATCTCCATTTCTTGGAACTGATCAAGATTTGATCTTGATATTGTTTCTTGCTAGAAGAAACAATTCTAAAGCTATGCTCACTACCCCATTCGATTCTTGTTGAAGAATCAAAGGTTCTTGGTAAACTACCTGTTGATCCAGCCTCATCCCAAGTTGTGTCATCTTCAGTGGAGGGAGGATTTGATACACTATTTGGGCGTGAACACCTGCGTTGGGAGGAGCATTTTTGCGTGGATTCCGTATCAGGTATACCTCTCCCTAATCTTGGTTTCCGATTTGGTCTGGTTTGGTTACAAGAACAAACCTTGAAAATGCAGTTTTTTAAATTGGGAATACGATTCCTGGATGGGAGAAAAGAAATTTTTGAAATTTCGCCCAACCTTCCTCTACGGTTCGGCCATCCATATGATGGATATTCCATCCCTTCACATGGGTCCTATGATATGAGGTAGTTGGACATGGACCTACAGCATCAGAAGGCCCAACTTGAAGTCTAGCTAGTTTACTATTTTCTGCCTATTCATAAATCCCTCCTCATAAGGTCTTTTCTTACTATGGTTTGGAATACATCTTTATATATTTAGAATGAAGTACCATGCATTCAATTTTATAACCAAGAAACTAATTTTAGCTAGAAAGCTTTAGGCATATTGAAAACTTAGAGAAATGCCGGAAAATATCATAGATATGTCATCTCAGTACTCAAAAAATATAAAAATAGTTTTGTAACAAATATTGGATATCATTGATATTTCTAAACCGGGATATATATAGGCTACTATTATTGATTTGTATTCATGCTTTAGATTGTAAGATCCTAGAAGATATAAACAACTACCATCATCAATTACAGTGCAATAAATAATGAAAGAAATCTCAAGTTGACTATTATATCATAACCAAATAAATGTATAAAAATACTCATGGATTTAACTCTTCACTTAAGTCCATAAAAATATTAAGTCAAAGAAAAACAAATAATACCTCATCTGTTGAATTAAGCAATACATAAAAATTCAACAATGGTAAAAGAAGTTGACAGAAAGACAACAATGACCACAAACTAGAAAGATCATCACTATTAGCAGCAAATAGAACTACAAATCAACACAGAAAAGAAAGGCAGGGGAAAGAGAAAGGAACATACTTCTCTCTTGAACAAAAGATTTCCTGATATAGTTGAGGGCACATCTGTTTTTGGCCCTGTTAACGAGTCAGTCTCCATTGTCATTGTTGACAAGATTTTTCCTCCCTCTATGTCAGAGGTAACTTGTGTCCACCCCATTTTGATAATACTTGTACCCTGTTTTGTTGCTTTATAACCCTATGGAGCACATCAAGAGAAAATTAGCACAAGAGTGCTACAATCTCTATATCCCTTAATAGAAGTTGCTTTTCAAAATAAATATTACTTTGGAGCATCTTTGCTGCAGTTAGATACTATTATCATCAAACTAGCTTCACTATTAATTAGCATGTATGAAGTGCACATTAGGAAGACAATGACTCGTTGAAATCTTCTTTAGCTCTATTACATGCTTTTCTTTCTATTATTTAATTTAATTTAATTTAATCTAAATAATAAGTCTAAACATGATCATATGAATGCTTCATGAGCATCACTCTTAGGTTAATAAAAGGCCCAGCTTGTTTATGTGCCTGTACTAGATCAAATGCAGATTTTTTTATCAATAATTGCAATATTTAATTAATAAGAAAAAAAGGGTGTAAAGAGTACAGGGAGTATAGATAGTTAGATACAACGAAAAGACATTGATAGACAAAACCTCTTATCTCTCCCCATAACAGATCCTCTCCCTTAAGGCTGTGCCAAAACATAGTCTCTCTCCCCACCCCTTGTTTGGCTAAAGCATCTGCTAAGGAATTGGCATTCTGCTTAATCCATTTAAAAGTTACTTCCATGTCCCTGGTTAACCATCTGATTTTCTTCTTTTCATTGTTGTATATACACATTTTGTATCCAGTTCACAACCAGTTTTGAATCCCCCTCAATAAGTTATTTCCTAATGTTCAGTGTTATCACCCTTTGTATGCCTTTCATTACTTCTGCTCTAAGAGAATCTCCCTACCTAGCTGCAGATTCATTGCAGATTCTTATGGCTTTGCATGAATTCATAAGCATTATGGACCTATCTTCACTTTTTTCATGTGGAGATTCTGACCTCACTTTTATAGAAACTATTCTTACAAGAGCCATTCAGAGCCCCCATTCAGTTTCTAAACGGAGAAAGTTTATAATATTTTGGCCAAGAGAAACTGAAGATTCTGTAGAAAATCTCAACTTTTACAAAATCTCTAAACCAACCATTTGATGATGACAATAGCTGTAATATCTGATGCAATTGAGTATAACTGATATTTAATGCTCTAAATTTATGGAGAGCATTTCAAATACACATTTATTTCTGATTGCTTGTAAAAGTAAATTAAATTTTGGGTAAATTACACGTAGGTACCCTGTACTTTGAGGGTAGTGACAGATAGGTACCCTGAATTTTCAAATTGGCACTTGAGTACCCTGAACGTGGATCAATCAACAGAGAAGAGAAGGGGTTTCATTCTCAGGTTTGATTTTTCTTATTTTTGAAACCATATTGCCCTTTCTCCTCTATGAAACCCTAGTTCTGAGATCTTTATTCTCAGGTTCTTATTTTTGAAATCCTTATTTTTCTTCTAGATTTCATTCTCAGGTTTTATTGTCAGGTTTGATTGTTCTAAGATCATTCCCGGGTAAGAGAAATGTGTCATTTAACCAGGGTTGTTTTGGTTATTTTCAATTTTTTGTTTTTCAATAATTGAAAATATATATGGGCATTTCAGTAGTGTTACCACACACTGTAACATTGGTTAATAGCACTGGACCAGGATGTCCATCTCTGGGAGTTCAGGGTACTCAAGTGTCACATAGTACCTATCTGTCACTAACCCCAGGGTACAGGTACCTATTTGTAATTTATCCTTAAATTTTCTGTCTAGCTGTGTCCTTCAATTATTAAGTAGTTAGAATACTGAAAGTAATGAAAATGGGGAAAATTCACATGTGACTTCTTCTACTATAAACTTTTCATCTTTTCCAACTCTCCAACTGAGTAAAATGAAATGATGTCAATCAACTCTTACGGGCAACATGCACACATGAAGATCTCATTACAATTATCAGTTGTCTTATAAAAGGTAAATGAATATATTTGCAAAATTCTTCTATCAAAGATGCAATAGGAGTAGACTGTGTGTTTAGAATAATAAGATTCTCTATCACTAATCTAGCTCTGAATTTCACCTTATGGTTTGCAACATCTGTTGGCAAATCCATGTTCAAAAAGCAGTTCTGAGGATAAGTTTTATTCTTCAGCGCAGCCAATATTGCATTAATGATGGGCAAGGATGCCTCTGCGCCTAGTTTGAAGTCTTGGATACTGCTCTTCCCTCTAACCCTGAAAGTCATTTTTCCAATTTAGTGATAAAGCACATATTGCAAGTCCAACAATTGTTGCTTTATTAGAAAAAAAAATGTAAGGAATAGAGAAATTAAAAAAAAATACTAAAAGCAATACTTGCACAGAAAATACAGTAACACTTAATTCTTTTACCATGATATCAATTCTGAAGAGCTGGTGGTTATTCAAGCTGAAAGTTTCTATAAAGAATGTAAGTTTATGAGATTGAATGAGTAGTATTTCTAGAGTAGAGTGATAAGGAGAGAGAAAAAAATAAGAAGAGGAAAGATCAAATGGAGAAAATCAGAATTAAAAAACACTATTTGTTCTTTTTCTTTTTCTTTTCTTGGTTTTTTGAAGGAAATAAATTAAATCAGAAGACAGGAATAAAAAGCAACACACCAAAACTAAATCTACCCACCCCCACACATTGGGAAATTGCATGGTTTTCAAAACCGGACCGGACCTGACGGTCAGACCGGAAAACCCAAGAACCAGTCATGTAACCGGTTCCATTTCACCCTAAAACTGCTTTTGGCTAAAAACCGGTGATTTGGTCAACAACCCGCTGACCCGGGCAGTCGAACCGTCAACCTAGACAATGGTTTTTGGCCACTTTTTATTATTTTTATTTTTTAGTCAAAACAGGCCATCCGTTTGAACCGGACTGTCAGACCATTCAACCCGGGAACCGGTCTCCAGAACATTTCCCTGTCCAGTCCGGTTTTAAAAACCTTGGGAAATTGTATACATAAAACCCCTAGATTACCAATTACACCCCAAAATATATAACAAACAGAACACAGGAAAATTACTTGTTCTTTTGTTGGTGATGTTTGTCAGGTAGAGGAAAGAAAAAGGTGGTTTGTTTTCCAGAAGGAAGAAAAGGGGAAGGATGGAAGGAAATCATGAGGGCTTTGCAGGACTTCTTAATGAAGAGTGAGAAGAAAAGAGAGGAGGATAACAAGGTAGAACAAAGGAAGTCTACTGGACTAAAAAAGAAGGAAGATAATAGAGCACGGGTTGTATCAGCAAATGAGGAATGTTTAAAATTATAGCAAACCAGGAGAGAGGAGACTAGCAGAAGAAATTAGTGGTTCAGACGAAAAAAACAGCCACGAGATTGGAGAAAAATAGCACAAACTATAATTAAAGCTTTGAAGCTCAGAGAGGAGGTAATCATAACTCCTTTTTAATCACAGAAAGCACTACTAGAGTTAACAGAAGAAAATGCAGATTTGGAAGTGATGGAGCTTGCAGATGAATCTGGAAACTTTACGGTGGCAAAGTGGAGCCCTTTATCGAATGAAAAAAGTTTTGCCATAGAAGATGGTGTCATTGTTCGTATTCTGGGTCTCCTGTTCCATCTTTGGAAGGAAGAAATTTTCAAGTCGATTGCTTCTTTATGTGGTGCTAAATTGGATGGTATTTTTGCAGTGGATCTCCATTCGGCGGCCATTTCCTTGAGCGGGGTTAGACCTGAGGAAATTCCAAGAAGAATTCTTTTAGCAGATGAGCAGCTCGTTTACTCAGCCTGGTTGACAACGGCCATTGAAGCGGCATTGTGGGAAGCTGCAAGAAGGAAAACGGGCTGAAGAAGACTGCTTACGTGGAAGAAGTCAACTGGCTGAAGTGAAAGGAATGGAGATTATAACTCTTAAGCCAAATACTGGAAAGGACCTGACGTGTGACTGGTCCTACGCTAAGGCTCTGACAATAGGGTCTCGGCATGTGCAATAGGCTCAAGCTCAAAAATCAAAATAGGGGGTGGGTCGGCCATATGGAAGGTCAGACTTGAACCGAACTGAGATCTTGGGTTCAAGTAAATTTAACTCTTCATGTGGCACTTTTAGTGATCATGTGAGATCCCTTGATGGGCCTGAGCCTTCGAAAGCAGCAGAAGACTTTCAATTGGGCCTTGCTTTGGGCCCAACTGTTAGGCTTAAATGGGCCTCGGCACATGATCCTTTAAATAGGCACGTGAGCACGTTGATGGACGACTTTTCCTGTCCATCATCTTCTTCCTTGCACAAAACAGAGGTCCAAGGAACCGGGAGCAAGTCACAAGTTCGGCAGTCTACGATGGTATGGGTACACAGAGTAAAGGGAAAGCTACATCTTCTCCTGAAAAGCGCAATCCGAAGTTCAAAAGGTGCAATAGTAAAGGAAAGGAGAAAATACAGGACCTAGTTTCAAACTCAGATGACAGTTCCAGTTACTCTAACTCGGATTCCTTTGAAACATCAAGCTTGGGCAGCTTTGCTAAAACAATGAGGCTTGATATGAACGAAGAGGAAAGCTTCAACACAGAAGTTCTTTTCTTGGAAGAGCAGAAGAAGATTACGCCCCTGAAGACTGGATTGAAGGTAGCTGGGCAGGCAGCATCAACAGTCGAATTTGTGCAGACTTCCCCCTCACCAGATTTTGAGAAATCACCCCCAAACAATCAGCAACAACAAGGAATAGAGAAAGTAAGACAGGAGGATACCGTGAAGGTGCACACAGAGGCAATAGAGAAGGGTAAACCGGAAAAGGACACTGATGCAACCAAAGATGTTGTTTTTCCCAGCCCCACTCCAGGGAATAGACCTACTGGTTTGATTTCTGACTTGGAGTACCCTATTTCTTCAGTTCCCGCTCCACCTGCCATGGTTCCAGGTATGTGTGTCCATTCAGTTTTGGTTACTGATGTGTGTGTTCTGCCTGAAACAGATGCACCAGCTTCCCAGCCCGAGGGAATGGGAAAGGAAGTTGAAGGTGGGACAGGAATATTAGAAGGGAGGGATGTAGAGGAAAGGAAAAGGGTGGAAGAGAAAGTTGAGAGGATCTGGGGCTTAATAAGTGACTTCTTTGAGGATCTCAAATTAAAGGAAAAAATAACTGAGGTGGGAATTCAAGAACCTTGTATGGAAGGAGATGTGGAAGAGGAGATGGCAAAAAAGCTAGAGAAGGACAAAAAGGCCAACTCATCTTTAAGGGATAACAATTCTCAAGGGAATCAAAAGACAAAGGTGTACTTTAGGAAGCATGAAGAGAAAAAGAAAAAAAAGGAAGGAGAAAAAGAGAGAAGTAGAAAGGCTATTTTCTGATGTAGAGGGCGATATTGAGTTCAGTGTGAGGGGAGGCCGAAGGAGACAGTCTAAATAGAGAAAGAGAAGGAAGAGGAGGGGTTAACATAAAGGTGAAGGAATGAAAATTATTAGTTGGAATGTGAGAGGCTAGGGAGTGCAAGGAAAAGGAGGATAATAAAAGATCTAATAAAAAGGGAGAATCCTGAAGTTGTGATGTTGCAAGAGACTAAACTAGCAGAGTTGGATAAGGAAGCTGATCAGAAGTTTGTGGGGATCAAGAGGATTAAGATGGATTGAGACCCCTTCCTGGGGGCCTTCAGGGGGTATGGTGATTCTAATGGAAAGATGAGGTATTGGAAGCAATGGAGGAGTTGACTGGCATATACACTGTATCAGTAAGTTTAAGAATGTGGATGACGGGTTTTCCTGGGTATTAACTAATGTTTATGGACCAAATAGGCACAAGGAAAGAAATGAGCTTTGGGAGGAACTGTATGCAATATGGGGTTTGTGGGAGGGTGCTTGGTGTCTGGGAGAAGATTTCAATTTCATAAGGTTCTCTAATGAAACTTCTAACGCCAATCAATCCATAACCACCAATATGAGGAGATTTAATGAATTTACAGACAGGTATGAGCTAAAGGAGATCCCTCTTATGCATACCAGCTTTACTTGGTCCAACTTTCAGGAAAATCCACTGTGTTCAAAGCTGGACAGATTTTTGTTTAATGTGGGTTGGGAGAACCATTGGGAAGATTTGGTGTCTAGAGCGTTACCTAGAGTCACTTTGGATCACCACCCCATTAGAATAGGATAAAAAATCTTTCTAAATGGTCCCGCTCCTTTTAGATTTGAAAATATGTGGTTGACTCATCCAGATTTTATTCACAGAGTTGATGAGTGGTGGAAGGAGGACCTAGGGGGGCAAGATGGGAGGGAATCAAATTCCATAAGCTACAAAGGTTGAGGGCAAAGATAAAGGAGTGGAATAGGGACCATTTTGGAAGACTTGAAGAAAGGAAGCTTACCCTCACATCTTAGATTGAGGAATTGGACAAGTTGGAGAATGAGAGAATTCTTAATGAGGAAGAAAGGGAATCAAGATGGAAATTGAAGAAAGATTTGGAGGAAGTTCTTAGTAGAGAGGAAATTTTTTGGAGATAAAAGTCAAGATATAAGTGGATAAAAGAGGGGGATGGAAATACAAAAATTCTTCCATGCGATGGCCAAATGGTAGAAGGCGTAAGAACTTTGTGGCTAGATTGGAAATTAGAAGGACTAGAGTGGCCCCTACTAGAAGAGGAGGTAGCAAGATGGTTGCAAAGGGACTTTGAGGAGGAGGAGGAAATAAAAAAGGCAGTGTTTTCAATGAATAGATCTAAAGCACTGGGTCCAAACGGCTTCACAATGGCTTTCTATCAGGATCGTTGGAAAGTTTTGAAAGATGATTTGCTTGAAGTATTCAAGGATTTCTCAAATACACATATTGTTAGTCGTGGAGTCAATGCTACCTTCTTGGCTTTGATTCCCAAAAAACATGAGGCCAGTGAACCTAAGGATTTCCGACCCATTAGTTTGATGACCAGTACCTACAGAATAATGGCCAAAAAATAGTTTTCAAGGCGCCGAGGCGAGGCTAGGTGACAGCGGGGTGCCTTGTCGCCTAGGCGATGGATTTTTTTAAGTAAAACCATATATCCTATGGTAGTTCCCTAGGTTCCATAACCATCTTTCCTTAATAATTATTCATAATTTTCATGAGAGAAGTATAAATTTCATGTTTAAGTCTAGAAAATCAACATTTTATTAGAAGAAAAAGAACAAAGGAAAGAAAATTCAAAAAATATAGGGGCTGAACCCCTACTTTTGTTATAGGAAAGAAGAAAAAAAAAGGTGGAAGAAGAAGATGTAGAAGAAGAAAATGTG